ATTCAAAAGCATTGTTGATCTGGATCCATTATTCATTTAATGGGAGCTATTGTTAGATATTTTCCAGATAAAAGTCAAAATATGGTTCTTATGGGCGGTTTAACAAAACATGCGCCAATTACAAAAATGTCTTTTTTAATAGGTACACCTTCTCTTTGTGGTATCCCACCTTTTGATTGTTTTTGGTCCAAGGATGAGATTCTTAACGATAGTTATTTGTATTCACCAATTTTCACAATAATAGCTTGTTCCACCGCATGATTAACTGCATTTTATATGTTTCGAATTTATTTACTTGTTTTTGAAGGATATTTAAACGTTCATTTTCAAAATTTCAATGGAAAGAAAAATAGTTCCTTCCATTCAATATCTTTATGGGGCAAAGAAGAAAAAAATTTAAAAAAGAAAATTCATTTATTAGGTTTCTTAATAATGAATAATAATGAAAGGACTTCTTTTTTTAGGGAGAGGACGCATTAACATTGAATAAATCGAAATGTCAAAAGTATAAGACGACTTTTTATTGATAGTACCCATTTTGGTACTAAAAATCTTCCTTTTTTTTATCCTCATGAATCAGACAATACTATCCTATTTTCTATGGTAGTATTAATACTATTTACTTTCTTTGTTGGGTCCATTGGAATTTCTTTCATCCAAGAAGGAATAGATTTGGATATATTATCTAAATTGTTAATTCTGTCTATAGATCTTTTACATCAAAATTCAAAGAATTATGTGGATTGGTATGAATTTTTTATAAATTCAACTTTTTCGGTAAGTATAGATTTTTTCAGAATATTTATAGTGTCTTTTTTCTATAAACTAGTTTTTTCTTCTTTACAAAATTTGAACTTATTTAATTTATTTCAAAAAAATGTTTCCAAAAAATTATTTCTGATAAAATAATCAATATTCTATATGATTGGTCATATAATCATGGTTATATAGATGTTTTTTTTTTAAGTATCTTTAATTGCGAGTGAAATAAAGTTAGCTAAATTAAATTATTTTTTTGATATACAGCTAATTGATGGAATTAATTTATGAAGGTCTCATCTGAAAAGCTTCGGGTAAATCACGAAAGTGTCGTAGCAGCTACAACAAGAGTATATTATAAATTATTTTCTCTTTTTTGTTTTAAGAGATTCATGGGCGAACGACGGGAATTGAACCCGCGCATGGTGGATTCACAATCCACTACCTTGATCCACTTGGCTACATCTGCCCTATAACTATGGCTAAGTTACACTATGTCTAAATTACATAACTTTTTATACCTTTTCATTAATCTTTTCTTCTAAGTTATGACGAATCTTCTAAACTATTAGAAAATAAAAAAACATTCATTTATTTATAAAAAATAATAATAATAAAACTCAAAATTTACAAATTGATTTTGTTGAAATAAAGAATGTTAATTCTAAAGAATATGGAAATTAATTAATTATTTATTAATTTCTGTATGTGTAGACTGAAAAAGAATACTAACAAAAAGTAAGTGAGTAATATCCACAATGTTGATATTACTCCCTTACTTTTAAAAACTCGTATCCTTAAACTAAACTATTATCCATTTATAGATGGAGTCTCGATCGCAGCTAGGTCTAGAGGGAAATTATGAGCATTACGTTCATGCATAACTTCCATACCAAGGTTAGCATGGTTAATAATATCAGCCAAGGTATTGATAAGTGTAAAAGTGTAGTTATTTTGTATATAATTTTTGTTGCACTTATCGACTCTTGATTGTTAATATCAGTTAAATAACCTAACTTTGTGTATAAATATGTTTTGTTATGTCAATTTGTGTTTTTCAAAATCTTGTCGTGTTTAGCTTGAGGAGTTTTCTACATTGTATATATTGTAAATTTTGTACATTGAAATTTTGTAGGAGTATTATTTTTCTAATTCTTTTGTTGTTGTTTGGACTCAAGTTTTGGTTCGGTAACTTGTAGAATATTGAGGTGATTTGTCAAGTTTGATTGTTTCGACTTGTGAATGCGTGGTAATGATTTTGTTAAATTTTTGTACACGTTCGAGGTATGTGTTTATCTCTTTCTATACTTTAGCATATTCATGATACTTAGACTTCTTATAATTTTTATGCCATTAATTGTTTTGTATACTTTTTCATTTATGAATCACTTTAGTTCCCACCCTTTTTGTGAGGTAGTTTTCCATTGTTCACATATGCTGGAGACCATAATTTTTGTTTTAACTGGATTTTATTATGCTTAATCTTTTGTTTGTGTTGATTGTATAAAATCTTGAACATGATCAAGACTTTTTTTTGTTTAATTTCGAGCACAACTACCTTGGCCAAATAAGTCAATTCCCTTGTGAGTGTGTGATCATTAGTAACCCCTTTGAGCTTTTTGTCGATATCCATGTTGATTTTTGCTAAATACTTGTCTATAAGTGTTTGGTTCATCTTTTTGTATGGATATTAATTCCTTGTTTTCTTGAACCCTTGACTATGATTTGTAGTTGAATTTTTACCTTGCCTTATAAAGTAGAGAGTATTCACATTATGATGATGGTTGAATTCAAGTTAGGGAGAGGAATGTTTATGTGCTTATGTTGTGATTGCTTTGAGGTTGTGATAGAAAATAAATAAAAAATGAAAAGAAAAAGAAATAAAAAATTGAAAAAGAATTGAAAAAAAAAAACAAAAAGAGTTGGAATAATGTTGTGTTAATAAGCGATGCGCTTTATGTGAAATTTGAGATTCGGAAGAAGTTTAATCAAAATTTTGTGTTTGAATCTTTGGTGGATTGATCACTCCCTTAGGTTTTGGCAAGTTTTTGTTTCGTTTAGATTTAGAACTTATCCCTTGTTTGTTAACCAAGTCACATTACAACCTTGAAAAGCCCTTGAGATTTTTGCTTTTATATTTTCAAGGTAAATTTTTAGATAAATGCATAATTTAGTCTATTGTTTGCAAGTTTGTTGTATGAGTGAAAATACCCCATTTTTGTGTGTTTTTCATCTACCGATGATTATGTTCACTAGGTGTGATTCATTTGTGACCAAGTATTATTTTAGAATGTTTGGTATATTCTTTATATTTAGTATTTATTTCATGTCTATGTTAACGGTGTAGTTTAGTGCTAAGTATGTTTCTTCGTGTGTACCATTTTTCATTTGAACCATTGCATTTGTTTTCTGCTTTGAAAACCTGTTGATTCGTGATTCTTTGATTATCGTTCTTTGCTTCTTTAAGTTTATTTGACTTTGTTTGAGGACAAACAATGATTCAAGTAGGGGAGAGTTTGATAAGTGCAAAAGTGTAGTTATGTTGTATAGACTTTTTGTTGCACTTATCGACTCTTGGTTGTTAATATCAGTTGAATAACCTAACTTTGTGTATAAATAAGTTTAGTTTGTGTATAATGGGTTTTCTTGTATAAAGTGTATTGTTTGATAGTTTTGTATTTATTTTGTAGGTACTTGAGCATTGTTGGAGCAATAGGAATAAACCTCCAAGATGCATTTTTGGATCAATAAAGGAATAATGCCAAAATTGGAAGTCATTGGAAGTTATGCAGAGAAAGAAACAGAAGTTGCCTTCCTGTCATGGATCACCGGGCGAAAGGAAGGCATCACCGGGCGAAATTTGAAGTCAAAATTCCTTGTTATTTATGCCATGTGTCACTGGGCAAAAGGGAGCGTCATCGAGCGAAGATAAGAAGAGTCGTCAGGCGATGAATTTTGATCGCCGGGCGATAGTAGATACTTGTTTCAGTTGAGGACGTGGCGTTTCCTGGGCCTTATAAATAGGAGCTGTCGTCGGGCGACGCTTTTATATCTTCGGGCGATGGTTGGGGATCGGATTTTTTTTATATTTCCTTTTTGTTTCATTTGGAGGGTTATGGTTTGGGGGGGGGGGGGTTATTTTTGTTCTCTCAACTCCATCAACCTCATTTTTATAGTGGATTAGCTTAGATAACAACACTAGGGCTTTTCTTATGGATGATTGGAGGTGGATTTCTCATTGACCGACTCTGATAAACCAGAAGATTTGTGGTTTATCTCTTTTCCTCTCTATGTATTTCTCTTTTGTTGGGTTTTGTGTGTATTTTACTTTGAACTTATGTATATTTGTCGCCCATGACGTTATATTAAACTTTCTTTACAAATCTTTGTGGATTATTGTCTTAGATTTTTGCTCTGTGCTAGGGATTTGAGTTGTTATAGACATATACTGCTTAGATTCTTATCTAGGATGATTATCGGTTAGTTTCTAAACTCTAGAGATAGATTTAGATCCGACATCTACTTGGGTATCAGAGCTTAATGCCTTTGTGTGGTTATGCTGTGCTGAGAGATCGTCAGTGCAATTACATAATTGTCTTATGTGTTGTTGAGGAGGTAGAGAGATCATTTCCTTTGTGATACAGTCGGTCTCTCAATTTGGGTTATAAATGACTTAGGTTGTGAGTGATACATAGTGACATTGATGAGTATTGTTAGGTTGAATGTAACTGGTCGATAGATTTAAGTCTGTGATGAGTAGGTTATATGCGGGCTTGATATGTTTTTCCTTAGTTTTTTTCTTTTTTTTTTACATTTATTTTCTGTTAATAACATTTTTTTTACAAACCTATTCAATCCCAAACTCATTAACAAATGATTTGTCAAACAACAATTCAATAATCAATCTTTGTGGACACGATAAATTCCCGGATAAATATTTCCAAAACTTTTGTTGCTTGCCGTTACACCGCTTCCAACAGGTATTAATTACACGACCTTGACTATAAACTACAAATTGGTTAAAATTGAAACCATTTAAATTGAAAGTCGTAGTGCTGATACCTAACGTGGTAAACAAAATACCTACTACAGGCCAATCAGTTAGGAAGAAATGTAAAGAGTGATAATTATTGAAACTAGCATATTGGAAGATCAATCGACCAAAATAACAGTGAGCAGCTACAATATTATAGGTTTCTTACTCTTTGACCAAATCTGTAACCTTCATTAGAAGATTCATTTTATGTGGTTTCCCTGATCAAACTAGAAGTTACCAAGGAACCGTGCATAACACTGAATAGGGAGCCACCAAATACACCAGCTACACCTAACATGTGAAATGGGTGCATAAGAATATTATGCTCAGCTTGAAGTACAATCATAAAGTTGAAAGTACCAGATATTCCTAGAGGCATACTATATGAAAAGCTTCCTTGGCCAATTTGGTAGATCAAGAAAACTGCAGTAGCAACTGCGACGAGAGTTGAATATGCAACAACAATCTAAGGGTGCATACCCAGACGAAAACTAAGTTCCCACTCACGACCCAAGTAACAAGCTACACCAAGTAAGAAGTGTATAACAATTAGTTCATAAGGACCACCATTGTATAACCATTCATCAACCGATGCAACTCCCCGTACGGGTAAAAGTGCAAACCAATAGCCACAAAATTAGGAATAATGGCACCATAAATAATATTGTTTCCATAAAGTAGAGATCCAAAAATAGGCTCATGAATACCATCAATATCTACTGGAGGGGCAGCAATGAAAGCGATGATAAATACAGAAGTTACAGTCAATAAGGTAGGGATCATCAAAACACCAAACCATCCAATGTAAAGACGATTTTTAGTGCTGGTTATCCAGTTACAGAAGTGACCCCATGGATTTTCGCTATCACGTCTCTCTAAAATTGCAGTCATGGTAAAATCTTGGGTTTATTTAAATTTAATTATCAGGGACTCCCAAGCACATGAATTCTCTATAACTATAGAATTAAGGGCTTGTTATCAAATAGTATAACACGACTTATATACGGGTGTCAACTAATACCACTATCCATTATATCCTGTTATTGATCTAGATTTAGACAAGTTGTGTTTTTTTTTATATTTCATTTCACCATCCATTCAAAAAAAATAAAAAAGGTTTTCTATATTCTCTATATATGACTTTGCTATGATATGTAATAATGATATATTAATTATTTCTCTATATTAATTACAATTTATCTTTTCATTATAATGGGTTGCCCAGGACTCGAACCCGAAACTAGTCGGATGGAGTAGAAAATTAATTTTTTAATCGAATAAAACAATAAAAAATCCCTCCATAAACTGTGCATGCATTTTCCATTGCACACGGCTTTCCCTATGTATACATCTAAACTTGAGTTACTTCAGAGGAATCTTGAAACTCAAGTCTAACTACATGAACATTTCAAAATCCTTTCTATATTTAAGTATCATAACATAACCAATCATTCATCATGGATCAGGTCGTTAATGAAAAGAATATCCAAATACCAAATGCAATTTCTATGTAACCACTGCAAAGTAGAGGAATCTCTTATAAAAATCAAAAAAAGAATCTCTTCTTCCTCTGTAAAGAATTCTTGCAAGAATTATTCTGAACCTGATCTTTTCAAAAAAGCGCGTACAATAATTTTATGTTTACAAGCTAATGTTTTAATACAAAAAAGACAAAGTATATATTTATTAGATACAAACTTTTTTTTTGAGGATCCATTATAATAATGAGAAAGATTTCTACATATTCCCAAAAATTGGTCAATAATATCAAAATCAAATGAATCGGCCCAGACTGGCTTACTAATGGGCTGCCCTAATACATTACAAAATTTCTCTTTAGCCAATGATCTAATTAGAGGAATAATTGGAACTATTATATCAAGTTTTTTGATAACAATTTCTATTAGAAATGTATTTTGCAGCATTTGACTCCGTACCACTGAACGATTTAGTCGCACATTTGAAAAATAGTCTAACAACTGAAATGAATGTTCGAATAATGGGTTTATATTGATCATTTTTGGTTGAGACCAAACATAAAAAAAACATTTCCATAAATGGATAAAAAAAATGTTTCCATTTATTCATCAAAAAGGCGCATTATTTGAAGCCAAAATGCATTTTCCTTGATATCGAACATAATGAATGTTAGGATCCTTGAAGAATGTTAAAGTATATGAAAAATCTTTAGCAAAAACTTTTACAAGATGCTCTCTTTTTTCATTAAAAAAATTCGCTCAAAAAAACACTAAAAGAATTTTATCGTAAATGAGAGGATTTATTACGTAGAAAAATGAAGATAGATTCATACTCACATACATAAAAATTATAGAGGAACAAGAAGAATCTTGGATGACTTTTTGAAAAAGTAGAAATTAATTTTTTGGTAGTAATAAAACTATTGCAATTCCAAAGAAACGGCTGTAATAAATGAAAAAAGGGGCATCTTTCACCCAATATCGAAGGATTTGAACTAAGATTTCCAAATGGATAGGATAGCGTATTCGTATATCTTACACATAATTTAAATATGTAGATTTATCCTTCAAAAAAGGAGAAATGGATTGAATTGATCTCAATTTTAATAAGATTTGATGATTTCTTCCTCCTCTAAGGAAAAGCTTAATTGTAGGAAAAATGGAATTTCCACGACGATGGAAAAATCCTCTGATATTATTTGAGAATAAAAATTATTATTATACCCCCAAAATAGATTTTTGTTAGAATCATTAGCCCAAATAATTAAATGATTATGTTGATACATTCGAGTAATTAACCATTTTACAATAAGTAAACTACATTTATTGTCATAACCTATATTTTCCACAAAATTTGATCTATTCAAATTATGACTATAAGCAAGTCCGTAAATATGTTAACTAAGAAAGAATTTGGCCAAAAAAATGTATATCTGTTTTCCTCCTAATCTCTCATATAAATACCGTACTTACAAGCTGTCAGGTTGAATTTCTACCCACTAAATAAGCTAAACTGTCATATTTACATTTACAGCTTATTATGTTAATTAAGAGAATAAATATTACAAATAAATGTACAATATCAACAAAGTTATTTCTAATAATTAGCTCATTATTGCAAATAATTATGTTGACATCCCCCTCAAATTGATGCTGGTAAATCTACAAGCATCAATTTGCCAAGTAGAAAATTGTGTCGCTGACGTGTCAAGGTTTTAGGGAAAATGTCAGCTATTTGAATAAATGTTGAGACATGTGGTAGATTTATGACTCTTCTATCATAGGCTTCTCGAATAAAGTGACAATCAACTTCGATGTGTTTCATTCGTTTATGGTAAACTGGATTTGCTGCAATCTGAATGGAACTGGTATTGTCAGCATGCAACGGAGTTGGTTGATGTTGAGAGAATCCAAGCTCACTAAGAAGACCACGCAACCATATTATTTCAGAACAAGCGGCATACATTGTGTGATATTCTGCTTCAGTGGATTAATTTGAGACTGAATCTTGTTTCTTACATTTCGATGAAATATGAGCATTTCCTAGGAACATACACCAGCCAGTAGTAGATTTTCTTGTGTCTGGACATCCAACCCAATTGGCATCACTATATGTTTGGAGTTTGATTGATGAATCAACAGGAAAAAATAAGCCTCGCTTTGGAGTGCCAAGGAGGTATCTAATGATTAGTTGTACCGCTGAAAGATGGAAATGTCGTGGAGCTTGCATGAACTTACTAATTATGTGTACAACAAAAGAAATATATGGGCGAGTGATAGTGACATAGATAAGACTTCCTACCAGTTTGTGATATTGAGTGGGGTCATCAAGAAGGTCACCTTTATCTCTTCTATATTTAACATTAACTTCCATGGGAGTGTCTACAAGGGTTGCATTTGTGAGTCCAGCTAGATGTACCAAGTATTGAATATATTTTTGTTGATTTAGAAAAACACCTTAATGATGATAATGCACCTCTAAACCCAGGAAATAAGTGATATGGCCTAACTCTTTCATTTGAAAAGTTGAGTGCAATAAGTGTTTGATTCTAGAAATAACATCTTGATCAGAACCTGTGACGACAATGTCATCCACATAAACAAGAAGCACCACAATTCCTTTAGGAGTCCTTTGTAGGAAAAGAGATGGATCATACTGACTTTGGTTGAATTCAAAACCAAGTAGTGTCGATCGAAACTTTTCAAACCAAACTCTCGATTCCTGTTTCAATCCATATAATGATCGTTTTAGTATGCAAACAGTATTAGGTGAAGGTGTAGGCATACCATTAGGAAGTTTGATATAAACTTCCTCCTGAAGATCACCGTGGAGGAATGCGTTTTTAACATCCATTCGATGTAGTGGGCAAGCTTGTGACATCGTAATAGCAAGAATAGTGCGTACAATTTTCGTCTTGGCAACCGGAGCAAACATCTCATCATAGTCAAGTCCATATTCTTGCTTATTTCCAAGCACAACTAAACGAGCCTTGTATCGATCTATGGATCCATCCGAGCACAACTTTATGGAGAACACAAACTTGCTTCCTAAAGGTTTAACAAATGAGGGACATGGCACTATATCCCAAGTTTGATTTTCTTCCAGGGAAAGAAGTTATGTTTCAATAGATTTCTACCAACAATCATTCTCCATGGCCTATTTATAAGATGAAGGAATAGGAGTAGAAGATAATGATGTTGTCATGCAATTGATATACCTTTCCGGGGGCTTTTTATCGCGTGAGCTGCATCATAGAGGAGCTAGTTCTGGTTCTTCTTCTACAAGACCAGCAACCAAGGAATTATCTTGAGGGGGCCCATACGTTGGTTAATTTTGATTGGAAGCACTACGTCTTTTGTAGGTCAAGAGAGGTTTAGAAGATTGTTGACCTGAATGAGAATTAGAAAAAATGGAAAAACAGAAACTGGAGAAGAGACGGAGTCATGATGTGATGCAAAAAAAATTATTTTCTAGGAAAATAACATTTCTAGATAAACGAATCCTACGAAGGTTAGGATCATAACATAGAAATACCTTTTGATGAGGAGAATATCTGAGAAAAGCACACTCAACAGATTGTGCAGTGAGCTTGGTGCGTTCCTGTGGAGTAAGATGAACATAACACACACAACCGAAGATACGAAGAGTGGAGTAATTTGGTGGGTGACCATATAACCGAATGAAAGGGGATTCATTACCTATTGACAGAGAAGCCATTCTGTTTATAAATGGACAGTGGTGGAAAGGTCTTCACACCTAAATCATGAAGGCACATGAGACTCCAACAAAAGGGTGCGGACAACATCGAGAAAATGACGATTTTATCTTTCTGCTACTCCATTTTGTTGTGGAGTTAAGGGGCATGACCTTTGAGATATAATGCCATTGGATTGCAAATATTCCTGAAATGAGTGTGACATGTATTCCCCTCCATTGTCAGAGTGAAATATTTTTATTTTTGATGAAAATTGGGTCTGAACATAAGCATGAAAAAATTTAAAAGTGGAAAAGACTTCATCTTTTGATCGCAAAAAATAGACCCATGTGAAACAACTATAATCATCAATAAAAGTTACAAAATATTTTTAATTAGCATGAGATATAACTGGTGCCACGCCCCAAACATCACTGTGGATGATATCAAAAAGTTGAGTTACATTAGACTGATGTGTTGGAAAAGGAAAATTTTTAATTTTGCCAAGCTTACAAGGAATACAATCAAAATGAACATAATTAAGAGATGGAATGTGTTTATTTCCAAGAAAACTAGATTTTAGCAAGTCATGAAGTACATTTGCGTTTGGATGTCCAAGACGCTTATGTCACACTTGGTAATCAACAATAGCAGAATTACACGAAACTAAAGGAAGAGAAAGACTTGGAGGAAATGAGAACTGAATTGGGAAAATGCG